ATTTTTAACGTTGAAACTATTATATTAACCATACGGATTTTGTCTCATTCTTATTTTAATCGAGAAGGATGGATCTTTGCTGGTATAGAGAAGTCATGAAAATAATAAAAATGTTCACCTATGAATATTCTTTTCATCATCAATTCTATAATTTTTATTTACTATTTATTACTGCATCAATTTCATAATTTTTGTAATTTCATAATTTTAGTTCACCTTTCCTCGTATTAAATTTTGAGCTTCTCTAATAGTTTTCGGTAGCGTGATTTGCCATCCTGAGACTAAATATTTTCCATAAACAGATAATATTTAATTATTTTCAACCATAAGTGCCGATAACAGCCCAGTAAAATAATACGTTGAAGAAATTGCCACAAAAGTATGGTCTATTATTGTCAGCACTACGATAAACATTTGTGTCTGTAAACTGTACATGGAATATTGAATATTGTAGAAATTCCAATAAGAAAAAACTCGGTTACAGGATAGAAAAAATTTTATCGCGTGTTTTTTCTACCGAATGCAATATCCGAGTGTGTACCTCGCCCAATCAAACTATCAATTTCGAAAATTTAGAAGCGGTGATTCGAATATTATTCATGTTATTCATAACAGAGTTGAGAGATAGTTGCTTTTTAAATGAATATCGATTTTACAGTAGGTTGCTCATCAAATAATTTTGGTATTATTCCCCCGAAGAATTTATTTTGTACGCGCATGTTTCAATTACAATTTATTTATGTATGATGAGTATATGTTGAAAATGTTTATAGCAAATTAATATGGAAGAGTCAACGAACAGAATTGTTATAACTAATCGAAGACATGAAATATCTTGTAACATTTTCAATCATATTAATTCTTCATGAATCTTCACAAATAATGTCAGAAACTTGTCACACAAGGTAAGAACAAAATATAGAAGATGGTACAGGCAATACATTATTAAAGTAGAATAGAGTAAACAAAAAAGTAGAGTCAACAGTAGGAACCTTCAGTAGTAGAGCCTTCAGTGGAAGTTCGAAACTTCAACGAAATTGAAAAAGCCACGGACATGTAGACTATTCATATGAAGGAATTAATTCTAATGGATGTATGTGTCAACCCGACGGTCATCTATTCAGTTTAATGGACGACAGTGAATGCAGGAAATCGCTGGATCTTGTTCTTACAGCTTTCGATTAACGTGGAAAATATTTGTTCGGAAGTTTCTGCTCGAGAACAGGATATTAGTCATACTTTGCTAAACGGAATTCATGGAAGTTTGCTTCAAAATGGATGCGAGTACTCGTCAATGGATCATCTTTCTCAGAAATATATCCAGAATATTGTGGAAGAGGGAGAAAATGTAATTTCGTACATCATTTGGGAAAAACTGTTCATACAAAAAAAACATATAAAATTTATAATATATATATTTATATAAAAAGTTTAGATAAGAGAATACGAATGTTTGAAAATTCTACACGTTGTTTCACTTGAAAATATCTGACAGATTTTAACACACTATTGTTAACATATTGTAATCTGCTTAAATTTTATATTTATATATATATACATGTTTATTCCATACTCGATTCTTAAATGATCTGTCAAACTTTTTAAAAGTTTAAAGAGACACGTATTGGCCTACGTATATGAATATAAATATAAAATATAAAGTTCAAGCTATTTAGAATTTGTTAACAATAATGAAATCTTTTAGATATTTTCAAATGATTCAGCTTAAAATGTGCAAAAACATCGAAGAAGTACCCAAATTTAATAAACAAAGGAAAATTAAGCTACAATAGAGCTGTTTCACGATGTATGTATATATTTGTCGCCATTCAAAAGTAGGACTGCCAGTTCTAATTAGAATATGGAATCCACCATAAAATGGAAAATTGAAAATACCCAAGGACGGATGCGCTGAAATTCCTAATTCCAGGCATAACACGGTAAGCACGTTCGTATTATGAATCCAATCCCTATAGCAGTTCTATGGATAAACGTGCGAAAACTTTGTTCGCTGTAATTATTGCAATGACGCAGTTTGAGTGGTCGAATGTTACTTAACTAATTTAAATTTCACCGACGGACAAGGTGGCCAGGGAACAGTATTAAAAATCAATTCAACGCGTCGGCACATATTCTAAATATCCACCGATATCATTAAAATATCAACCTTTATCCCCCAATTTACAAACTTCGAACGCCGCGATTCATTAAATTTAAAGTGATTCATTGACCGGGAGGTATGTATTTTTCGTTGTTGCGATGTCAACACTATTTGTTATGATTACGCACGAACGTCAATTACTCGCGTTTCCTGTTTTTTGAAAAATAGTATTGATTGATCGATAACGTGACCGATGCTCTGTCTACGTTAAATACAACAAATTGAATAATAACCATACAGTTAAATCTGGAACAATGGGGGTTTCCATTAAATTGAGAAACGTGATTACTACATTGAAATGAAATTAAAAAAAGAATCCGACCAATTGGAAAATTCTGCTCTTCTAAAATGTAACAGAAATGTTTCTGTATTAAAAATGTTTTAATAAGGAATGATGTATATTATCGAACTTCAAGTGTTGCAGACAGTTTTAAAAATGAACTCGCATCGTACATTTCAGTTTACCAGAAATTAAATTTTCATTACTTTTAATAATAACCTTTTTTATAAAATAATTACTCAAGGTAACAGGCTTCAGCCAACAGTTATATCTGTTTACATTTGTTGTATTTTTTGTGTAAACATTTGCTAATCATGGAACGTTATTTTTCATATATAATGCCAGTTAGGTTTCATAACAGCATTTTAACCTCGCCTATTACCCACACACATATTCCATTTACATTTTATTTTCATATACTACACGTACACGTACGTGTTTTCATTTATGCATAATAAGAGCGATATAATATTAAAAAGTAATAATACATCACTCGCTCGCCTTATTATCGTAAATTTCAAGATTGTGTGTCAAAAGTATACGTAATTTAGTCGAACGTTAAGGCAACCGCAAAACGTGCTTTGTTAGGTTGTTTGTGCTACGACCACATGGAACGTTATCCTCTTCAGGATTATACTGAGATAATAAGCTTTAAAAATAAAAATAAGAGTACCCCAGCAAAAGTACCCTTACTCTATATCATATTGTTTTTCTACATTTCGTGGATCATTCTTATTTTTATTTATCAGACATATTATCGTAACACTATTTTAAAAATAACCACACTCTAGATGGTCGAAACGTAAACAATTCAGCTTGCTCCATAAATTACACGCATTGCTGCAACATTATTTCACGGTATAATCTAGTGAAAATGAAAATTATAATTTTAGTTTATTTCCCGGCTGGAGTTTGAAATGACTTGTACGAACATTTTCGCGATAAACTCGTCTGCACAGTTTCCCAAACGCTGGTGCGCCATTTCAGACGGGTTATTGAAGTCGTAATTGGCACGCTCGTCGATGTTCTTTTAGAAGTTGCTGTGCCTGATAAGGAGTTTGCACTTTGTGAAGCTTAGTAAAAGGAATTAGTAAGAGAGATTTCGTTGTGTATATTTATATAGCCCCCCGTCCCTACCGGTATCTGTCGTCGTTAATTTCTTAAAGGACCTTAATAATGAAAATACTTTGTCTAAACAAAGATGTTACATTAGCTGCAACTTAATTCTCCTCGGTAGTTGCAACCGGGAGTTCATTAACGGGCGCAACTTTCATGCTTCTTTCGAAGTACGAAAACCGTCTATGATGTTTAATTAACGCTAACGATATTGAAATATGGATGCCGTTGAGTCCAATGAGAAACATAAACGTGCTAAACCGCTGCCAGCTGGAGTACATTCGGGAAATTAATGTTTAGAGGTGCTAGCTCGCGTCTGAGATTGTGTCTGAGCCCGGTACGTGGATCAATATTTCCTTAGAACACGATTAGGGTTTAATTGCCGTTTACCAGCCTAACATGAGTGTCATTACTCGTCACGAGTCACGAATACATCCGATACTCGATGAATTTAATCCTACCGCTTTGTTACGACATCGAAGAGGATACCGTCATGGATCCTTTGTCTTATTAATTACGAGGCGTGTGTTATTTTCATTTATTACTGTTTATTTATTATACGTTTTTCCCCACGAATTGTTGATAATAAATTAGAATTTAGTTAGCCTCGATGCCTAGAAATCGATATTATTTGAGAATTAATTTAAAGTTTCATAATTAAACTTATAGGCTTAGATTTATCTATTGATATTTGCTGTAAATATTAATTAATTTTGTAACGAGTAAAAATCTTTATTACTTTAAATTTCGGGGACTTCTATATGATACATGTTAGAAACGGAAATTGTTCATTCCTGATACAGGTATCATTTACAATTGTATACAATAATTCTATAAATATATATATTAAAGAGTATGGTAACGTTAAAAGTGAATAAAGAGGGATAATGTCTCTGTCTCGTATATGTGTATGCATTTCATTTAGAATTACAGAATAAAAGCAGAAAACTGACCACTCGTTTCACTTTTATTACGACACGCTCTTTATTATATTTATTTGTAGTATCATTATTTCTTTTCATGGAAAAATCATAAAAATAATTTTATACGAATTTTTTGTCTAATAAACGATTAAAGCGTCACGTGTCATCTGCCTTCCGTTTCCACGGGAGTACGAGATGAAACGAGTCTTCCGCAATGATCGAACCACGTTTCCTGAAGTCCGTAGGATAAGGATTCTGTCGGAAAATATAAAGAGGTTAGGCTTAGTCTCTGCTTGACCTGCTTACGTTAACTCGCCCCATTCACCGCCGAGTTTCTCGAGTACTTTGCAAACTTTAGCGCGCCTGTAGCTGTGTTATAAGCATAAGTAGCCGTAAGTAAGTAAGTAAGTAAGTTAGTAAGTAAGTAAGTAAGCGAGCAGAGGGGTGAGTGTGTATACCACGGTTATGTAAAGTGTTCACCGTGACTGGATACTCAAGTCGAGGACCTTTCGTGTTGCAGATTCACCAAGGTTTGGCAAACCGTTGAACAACCTTACGGTCTCCGTGGGTCGCGAGGCCATTTTCACCTGCATCGTGGAAAATCTTGGAATATACAAGGTAAGACCGCCTCTTGCCACCCTCGAGCATCACTATTTCCACGCGTCGCTGCGGTCGCCCCGCAATTACTATGCGACGCATTACACGCGCCGGATAGTTTGAATAAATAGCGGCGTGTGCCCTTGGGCGAAACGGAACACTTCTCATCGTAATTTAATTGAGGACTAGAACAGAATAATTACGGAAATACAAGAATATAGCGAAGAGTCATGGGTAATTTAAATTATTTTCTGTTTTGGAAATACAAAGTCTTCATATTTATTTTGATTATTTTATACTAACATTGCTGGTGCCTTTGTAAAGACCAACGTAAGCTCAATATTAGTAGCTACAGATATTTATAATTTTATTACAGCAATTAATTTTTGTTTCAAATTCCAAATATTCATTTATATTTAAACTAGCTGTGTCCCGCAGATACACCTGTGTAGGATACTATATACATTTTATTTTAATATTAGTGAATAGTGGAGGAACACTCCTCATCAAAGTTCAACGCTAATTTAAAGAATTTGATTAGACGCATATCGAACTAGTTGTACATCCTTCGCTGGATCACATGAGAGCGTTAAATTCTTGAAGAACTTTTATTTTAAGTAACCTCTCAGAAAATGTTTGGGGGTCTCAGACCGGATAGTCTCGTGGGAAATTCAACATGGCTGAGACGTGCACGTCAACTATTGGGGAATGTCAACTATTGGGAAATTTAGTCTCGGTCGAATATGGTAGGTATAACACACAGAAACACCGAAATTACGGTCGAAATATGCCATTTCTCAGAAGTAGAAAGTCTCGAACAATTCGTACTCTATCAACATCCTATTTCGTTCATGAATATTTATTACACTCAACCATGATCAAAAAAATGCAGACCTTCAAAAGTTCTCTATAATTACTTGCATATATTTATTATTAATGCTTCCAAGATAAAGCAAGAAAGCACATAATTCTATTTGGAAAAATTACGGTGACGTTCAAATACTGCCTTTATTAATTATAGATTGAAATATTGCTATAGTTTGCAATAGTTTTCTTCAAAACTGTTGATATTCATTTGATATTGTATAACAAAAATGTTACCATTTCTTTTTTAATTATAATCACTTGAGTTAATTAAAAGGTATATTAAAGGAAGACAATACAGAAGCCTTACAGAAGCATAGACATAACAGAAGCATCGGTACGCACAAGTAGAAATAGCCAGTAATGGTCAGACATAGTTAAGTAGTTCTCCCTCGCACTTATAACCCAAAAATACCCAAATTTCCCAACTATAAACATTCCTAAACCCCGTCAAGCAGTCAACAAAATCATCTGCAAAATTCGAAGAAGGTTCAACATATACTTTTCCCCCCCAAAAAATTCCCAAGGGTGACCCATTTACCGAAGAGCGCCGAAGTAGGAAGACCGTTGAACAGTTGCACGGTTGTAACCTTGAACGGCGTTCAGTTTCATCAGTTTCCAAACGAAATTTCACAAAAGCACGAAGGATAGAACGTACGAAAAAGGGAAAGATAGAGAGAGGTTAACAAACGGTGGAAATAAACTCCCGGAGCCAGAGATTCGGTGAGAATCCGTATCCGACGCGTATCTCGGCAACTCCATTTAAGCAGAAATAAAATCCCGCGGGGTGTGAGTTCAGCAGTTTGTTAAGCGGTTCTTGGCCCCCTTTTTCCTTCCTCCGCCAATACTTTTTATCCGCCTATTCTTTTTTATTCCCTTCTCTTTTCCACCTTCCTCCGGAGGCGGAACATCCCTCTTAGAATGCGCCCCCCTTCGATTCGCTAACCCTCTTAGCTTGGTCCTCCTTCGCGCCACGACCGCAAAGGTACGAGTTATAGTTTCCTAGATAGAAACGTCCCCGCGATCGGGAACTACACTACCCTTCATAAGTTCAATCGCGCTGAGTGGAGAAACAGAGTAAACCTATTTATCGGAAGTATTATATATGTAGTTACAACGCTACGTTTATTTCACTGGTTTTCAGATGTGTAAACTAACAGTAGTAGGTGTAAATGAAATTGTGCAGACCCTAACGTTTCCAACCCTCTCGGAACCCCTTCATGAACACATGCAGAGTCAAACTTGTAATATCCAAAATTGTTCTAATTGTAAAAATGTGTTCAATTACAAATACAATATACTAATTAAAATGAAAATTGAATCATTTTACATGCACCAAATTATTGAAATAAATAGCGTAAATTCTTATTTAAGAAGCGCGACTGCAAAAGTGATGCAGCTTTTGACAAATTATATGAAAAATTCTGCCTGGTTCGCGTTTTCCATAAACGCGATTGTGCTTATGGTCGGGTAATGTGTGCGCCTCTGATAAAAATTCGCAGCGATTGTTTACCGCGTTGTGTGCGCGCGCGAGCAGACCAAAATGGAATCGATTCATTATCTTTACGCTCGTGGTCGACGACGTCTCACCCGGAAATGAAAATACGCCGGACAGGAATATTCGTTGGATAGGAAAAAGGAAAGAGAAAACGAAAAATAGAGGAAAATGAAAACGAGCGCGAGTTTATCCGCACAAAGGGCCGTGCCTTCGATAATCGACGCGATGCTCGCGGCGAAATTAACGTGTTCGTAACTTGCTCCTCACCAGCGTTCGTTGAAAGTTCCACCCAGGCGTTGTATCGTGCCCCTGTCGATACAAATTCGATTAGTTTGCGAAAGTAATTATCGAAGTTAAAATCGCCGTGAAAGAAATCGTGTTCCGAGTGTGTTCGCTAACGGGACAATGAGGAATGAGGACGAAATCACATGAAATTCAAGCGTTTAATCGATACGCGGCATTATTGAACCCACTATCCTTTTCATTTTCATTTTATTAATATTATAATGCCTGGGTATAATTCTCTCTCTCTCAAAAGTAGGTATTACTAGTATTATTGTTGTGCGTTAGATTAACACTATAGCTTTGGATAATGTTAATCGCAGTCAAGCCACTACTTTTACATTGGAAATTAACAAAAAATAATATTTGTAAAGAGAAGAAATGTAAAATATAAAATAATCAAATGATATTTCAATTATAAGAAGAAACAACATTTATGCATTTTATTTTGCATAAAAAGCTACCTCATCTAAAATATGTTCGCAAGTTAACCGTTACTTCTATTATTCTACAACATCTGACGTTGACAAGACTTTTCATACAAGCACATTTCCATTTTCAATTTCTTTTACTCTCTTTATTACTGATAACTCGCATTACATATAGTAGAAACAACAGAGTTCGTCTGAAACGTTTTATCTTTTAATTTTTTGTTGGAGCGTGCTCCGTTCTATCATCATGTTTCCCGTTGGATCGATCAACAGTCGTTCCTTTTTACTTACAGCTTTTTTTTTGTGAAAGCTGAAACCAAACCATTTGTTACTTGTTCCACGAAGTTGTCTTTGTGACAATTTTTTTTGTCGTTCTGCGTATCGCAACAGATATAACAATTTAGCAATCCCGCTTCATTTGCAATGTGCCAAAAATTCGCTCGAAAAGCAAACCATTTGTCGCTCGTTCACGGAATTGCCTTTGATAGACCATTTTTTCATTCTGAGTGTTGTGACAATTATAATAGTTTGATAAAACTGCTTCAAACAGTTATTGTTTCAAATTAAAAATAATGGAATAGATAGCGTGTTAAAATTGACTACATTTTTAATTTAGAGATTGCAATTTTTAGAAAATTTATATTTTTTACAAGTCCGCAAATCCGAAATCATTTCTAACGAATACCTATTCCATTTGTTTGCCTAACAGATCTCTGTTCTATATCATTTTCATTCACTACAACTTAGGCACTGTGTTAAATTATTTGTATAAGTCTGAATATAGCGCCTAAAGCTTTAAGCTTGCTTTCGTGTTTCGCGAAAGTTATCTATAATTCAACATGATAATTAAATCGCTCACGAGTGAGGTAACTTTAATGACTTCGACGAGCTAGTATCGCTTAAGTTCTTTAAGTATGATGAGGTTATGTCAGTGAATTGTTTACAAGAACTTGTGTATTGATTATTTTCTGGAGTACTGTTATAACCACCTTATATTGAATGCATGAAGTATTTAAACTAGCGATGGAAACTACAACATTGTTAATTAATAATTCATTATCACGCTAATTCGTGTGATGGAAATATATTTGATCGCGATAGGTACTCTGGAAAGCTATGGAATAAATGGTGTATCCGTTCAAAATATCATTTCTAACCGTATAGTATAATAATTTAAAATGATTGTGCAGTGATAATTCGCTGATGTTAATCTAATAATTGAGATTTTACGAGACGAATTATTAAGAAACACTAAAATTTTAGTTTGCAAGATTATAAGTAACGTCGGGGTTCGCTGAATATTGTAATCCATTTAGTAAATGATCACGAGCTGTCTCCACGATATTTGAAATATTTCGTTGAGGCTGTTACTTGAAATAACGTTAATGAGATTTAATTATAATGTAATATTATCTAAAAATATTGAAAAAGTCATTTAAACTATCCACCAAATCAAAAATCAGATTTTTTGAATTGCAGATTGAAAACATGAATTGTCAAGAAAATGTATGACTCGTTAGCAAAATTTTTAAAAATCTAATACAGCTTCGTTTCCATAATCTTTGAATAACCATCAAACTAACTAATTCAAATATTAAATACAGTATTTTTTTGTATATATTATGTTTATATATTTCTAATACTATAATTCAAAATATATAAAAAAAAATCTTGAATTTCACATATATTTATTATGGTTAAAATAGAACAGAAAAATATGCAAGCTTTCGGTATTAATAATCCCTGCAAAGCAGTTGAAATTGACAAGAATTAAACAATGAAATTGTAAAGTGAAACCGTTTGTATATTATCCAAAGTCGGCGGGAAATTTTAAAATTTCATTAAAGAGTCGAAATTACTTCCTGCGGAAGCGACAGCAAGGCAGCAGAGCCACCCCAGCCTGCCGGCGCATGTTTTTACTGCTCTAAACCTAATTGAAGTTGGAA